TTGGTAATACATAGAGATTTGCGATTATGTATGAATTAGAAGAAATTACAGGCGTATAATGTTTAGTACTAACAGAAAATTTGGTAATACATAGAGATTTGCGATTATGTATGAATTAGAAGAAATTACAGGCGTATAATGTTTAGTACTAACAGAAAATTTGGTAATACATAGAGATTTGCGATTATGTATGAATTAGAAGAAATTACAGGCGTATAATGTTTAGTACTAACAGAAAATTTGGTAATACATAGAGATTTGCGATTATGTATGAATTAGAAGAAATTACAGGCGTATAATGTTTAGTACTAACAGAAAATTTGGTAATACATAGAGATTTGCGATTATGTATGAATTAGAAGAAATTACAGGCGTATAATGTTTAGTACTAACAGAAAATTTGGTAATACATAGAGATTTGCGATTATGTATGAATTAGAAGAAATTACAGGCGTATAATGTTTAGTACTAACAGAAAATTTGGTAATACATAGAGATTTGCGATTATGTATGAATTAGAAGAAATTACAGGCGTATAATGTTTAGTACTAACAGAAATACATAGGTAATACATAGGTAATACATAGAGATTTGCGATTATGTATGAATTAGAAGAAATTACAGGCGTATAATGTTTAGTACTAACAGAAAATTTGGTAATACATAGAGATTTGCGATTATGTATGAATTAGAAGAAATTACAGGCGTATAATGTTTAGTACTAACAGAAAATTTGGTAATACATAGAGATTTGCGATTATGTATGAATTAGAAGAAATTACAGGCGTATAATGTTTAGTACTAACAGAAAATTTGGTAATACATAGAGATTTGCGATTATGTATGAATTAGAAGAAATTACAGGCGTATAATGTTTAGTACTAACAGAAAATTTGGTAATACATAGAGATTTGCGATTATGTATGAATTAGAAGAAATTACAGGCGTATAATGTTTAGTACTAACAGAAAATTTGATAATACATAGAGATTTGCGATTATTTATGAATTAGAAGAAATTACAGGCGTATAATTTTAGTACTAACAGAAAATTTGGTAATACATAGAGATTTGCGATTATGTATGAATTAGAAGAAATTACAGGCGTATAATGTTTAGTACTAACAGAAAATTTGGTAATACATAGAGATTTGCGATTATGTATGAATTAGAAGAAATTACAGGCGTATAATGTTTAGTACTAACAGAAAATTTGGTAATACATAGAGATTTGCGATTATGTATGAATTAGAAGAAATTACAGGCGTATAATGTTTAGTACTAACAGAAAATTTGGTAATACATAGAGATTTGCGATTATGTATGAATTAGAAGAAATTACAGGCGTATAATGTTTAGTACTAACAGAAAATTTGGTAATACATAGAGATTTGCGATTATGTATGAATTAGAAGAAATTACAGGCGTATAATGTTTAGTACTAACAGAAAATTTGGTAATACATAGAGATTTGCGATTATGTATGAATTAGAAGAAATTACAGGCGTATAATGTTTAGTACTAACAGAAAATTTGGTAATACATAGAGATTTGCGATTATGTATGAATTAGAAGAAATTACAGGCGTATAATGTTTAGTACTAACAGAAAATTTGGTAATACATAGAGATTTGCGATTATGTATGAATTAGAAGAAATTACAGGCGTATAATGTTTAGTACTAACAGAAAATTTGGTAATACATAGAGATTTGCGATTATGTATGAATTAGAAGAAATTACAGGCGTATAATGTTTAGTACTAACAGAAAATTTGGTAATACATAGAGATTTGCGATTATGTATGAATTAGAAGAAATTACAGGCGTATAATGTTTAGTACTAACAGAAAATTTGGTAATACATAGAGATTTGCGATTATGTATGAATTAGAAGAAATTACAGGCGTATAATGTTTAGTACTAACAGAAAATTTGGTAATACATAGAGATTTGCGATTATGTATGAATTAGAAGAAATTACAGGCGTATAATGTTTAGTACTAACAGAAAATTTGGTAATACATAGAGATTTGCGATTATGTATGAATTAGAAGAAATTACAGGCGTATAATGTTTAGTACTAACAGAAAATTTGGTAATACATAGAGATTTGCGATTATGTATGAATTAGAAGAAATTAAGGCGTATAATGTTTAGTACTAACAGAAAATTTGGTAATACATAGAGATTTGCGATTATGTATGAATTAGAAGAAATTACAGGCGTATAATGTTTAGTACTAACAGAAAATTTGGTAATACATGTATTACCAAATTTTTTATGATTATTTATCGTATTACCAAATTTTTTATGATTATTTATCGTTATTCGACGCTATAAGTTGAAATAATTGTATTACCACAATTTAAGGAAAATACTAGCTCTTTTTTACGATTATTTATCGTTATTCGACGCTATAAGTTGAAATAATTGAGACTAGTGGACTAATAATGACTTTTTCGAAAATTTAAGAAACATAAGTATTAATTTAAGGAAAATACTAGCTCTTTTTTATGATTATTTATCGTTATTCGACGCTATAAGTTGAAATAATTGAGACTAGTGGACTAATAATGACTTTTTCGAAAATTTACGAAGCATGAGTATTACCACAATTTAAGGAAAATACTAGCTCTTTTTTATGATTATTTATCGTTATTCGACGCTATAAGTTGAAATAATTGAGACTAGTGGACTAATAATGACTTTTTCGAAAATTTAAGAAACATAAGTATTAATTTAAGGAAAATACTAGCTCTTTTTTATGATTATTTATCGTTATTCGACGCTATAAGTTGAAATAATTGAGACTAGTGGACTAATAATGACTTTTTCGAAAATTTAAGAAACATAAGTATTAATTTAAGGAAAATACTAGCTCTTTTTTATGATTATTTATCGTTATTCGACGCTATAAGTTGAAATAATTGAGACTAGTGGACTAATAATGACTTTTTCGAAAATTTAAGAAACATGAGTATTACCACAATTTAAGGAAAATACTAGCTCTTTTTTATGATTATTTATCGTTATTCGACGCTATAAGTTGAAATAATTGAGACTAGTGGACTAATAATGACTTTTTCGAAAATTTAAGAAACATATGTATTAATTTAAGGAAAATACTAGCTTTTATTTAAGGAAAATACTAATTTAATAAAATACTAGTTCTTTTTTATTATTATTTATCGTTATTCGACGCTATAAGTTGAAATAATTGAGAAACAAGGTATACAACTAACCTTGGCTAAATAGCATTATTATATTATTAATGCACCCACATTTTGGTACGCTTATACTTTTTTGGAACGCTTAAACTTTTTTTTGGGACTCATACACAGTCATGGGACGCATACACTACCATGGGACGCATGTCCTAAACTAGAGCCATGAATTTATATAATAATTTCTCAATTTATTAATGGGGTATTTTACACCGTTATATTTTGATAAGGATGTAAAAAAGAGAAAGATTTAAGATTAATGAGTTGAATTTTTTAATTAATAAAAATCAATGAGAGTATTTAGCAAATGAGAATATTTGAATTAATCGGAGCAGGTGAGCACAGATGGCACAGATGTCTTTTAGCTCTTCATGTTATGATATCATGACTCACTAAAATATATGAACAATTACAGCCGGACCTCACTAAAGTGCACCATCTTGGGGTAGAAAACCATGTCCTAATAGTTACCAGATCCATCCTCTAGAGAGTTGTTTGATAGAGGAGGTCGGTCTAATAGAGAGAGTCGCACTAGCACTATTAGAAGGCTATCTATTATTTTATTTTTTAAAATAAAATCTCGGCATTTTGAAAAATTAATTTATTCTTTTACAAATTCAATTTCATTTAAAAATTTCCTTTAAATCATTTCATATTAGTGTTAGTTAGTTATCCTTTAATTTCAAAACTATTTCAAGGGGATAAAACAATTCGGTTAGCAGTTTGAGTAGCCATCAATTTTTGTTGTATTTGCAAACGATTAACAGCTGCAGAATGTCCAGTTGCGGCATTATTATTTGGAGAAATTTTTGTTTTGATTAGATGTGTATTGGTAAATATTTGGATAAATGCTGTTTTGTAGTCAGAACTAGAAATTTAAAGTCAAGCTTTGCTATAGTGACCCCTCGATTTAACAAAGAAATTTCGAACTAAGAACCGTTAAAAAGCTCCTTCAAGTTCGTTATATCTAGATTCGACTGTATTTAAATTTAAAAACCTAGTAAAATAAAGAACAGGAGCATTAGAAGCAGCAGATATATTTAAAAGAATAGAGACTGCTTTTCTAATAAACCAAGCATTTATTTGGTTAGTTAATAATGGATATATCCAAAAAGAAAAAACACGCATAATATAATATCCTCCCAAGTTAAAAATAATTATAATTAAAAGGGAACGATATAGGCGGCAATTTAGATGTTGAGAAGATGAGGCATCTGAAAAATTAAATAATGATGATTATTAATTGTGCAACTTTAATAAATAACCCTAATTTCCCGTTGATTTTAGAGTTTAGGGATTTCTCAATTGTTTTCTACTTATTATCAATGGAAATATTAAAAGAAATTTTTGATTTTAGAATAATTGTATGAATAAACAGTCAAGCGAGGGTTCCAGTTCCGGAACTTAAACCGATAAATGTCTGGAATCGGTTTTGGAACTGACAAAATTAAAAGTGGTTCCAGAACTTGAATAGAGCCACCAAAATTTTGGAACTTCCGCATCATTGATCATGAATCCCTATGTTGTTATTTTACATAAAAATTTTTCTATCTAGTTTGAGAAAAACTGGATAACCCCCAATGATTTAAATATTTTTAAAAATGTCCAATAATTATAATTAATTTACTAAATTCCAGTTAATTCAAAATAATTTTACCTGATTTAATTTTAACCAAAATACCGACAGCCACATATAAAATAATTGCAATATTATAAAGAATAAAGCAAGAATATGTGTAAATTGTTCCAAAAGTGCCCCTCTTAATTAATTTTCAAAAAATATTTAAATAAAAACTAACAGAAAATATGTCGTTAAATGTTGGAGGAACTAAAGTATCCGGGTCAATATTGTTAAACCAGTAAAATCCAACAGGAAATATAGCACAATAACTAGCACAGATAACAGAAATTAGGGTTAAATAAATACGAGGACGTATTTGGTTTGGACTAAAAAAATTTTTTTGAGGACTTTAAAAAATCCAAACAATGTCGGAAATATCACACAAAGCATTCTATCTAGTCCAGTAAACACAAACAAAGGTCCAATCCCTGAAGCAGCAAAAATTGGAATAAAAAATACGGCAACAGTTTGTGTGTAAGTAAGGAAATTAATTCCCATTAAATTAAAATAAAACATAATTAAAATTCCAAATTCGTGTATTATTTCATAAAATGCACATTGGGCTAATAGAATATTTGAGGTCCCATGAAATTTACTAAAATAATAAGAATTGAGATTTGATAGGGAAAATATATTTTATAGAGAGGATACTCTATTAATTACTCTGGGTAATTATTGTTTCAAACTCTCTCTGGAGAGGGTAACTGTTAGGGGTGGGGTAACTAATAGAGTTTATTTTAGGAAGGCAAATTATAACTATTTTTAGGAGGGTAATTATTGTTTCAACCTTTGATGTAGGGGTAACTAATAGAGATAGGATAATTATTTTAGGGAGGGCAATTAATAAAGTATAATACGCAAGTATTATTTTTGTGTTTTGACAGTTTTTCTGAGTGGCTTATCAAATTTTAAAAAATTATTTTTGATTAAGGCTTAATGAAATTAAGGCTTAAAAATTTATTATTTCTGTGCTAAGCTTACAATATATCTAGAAAAAATAAAACAGAAATGATATCAAAAACCCTTATATGTATATTTACTTGATTAAATAGTCATTTGAATTACCTCTTAGTTATAGTCACCCAGACTAAAGCAATATTCATAAACATTCCCGGAAATGCAACGGTGACTAAAGGTAATGTACTCAAAGTTAATGCCCATGAAAATCCTGTGTCGTTATATTGGGAATATAACTGAAAATTAAATATGAAATAATCTTAAAAATTTTAAAAGGATTTTAAAAAGATTTTAAAAGATTAGATTTTAAAAAATTCTATTTGATTTGTTCAGTAAGTAAGATTAATCGTTCGAATTATTTTTTAAATTTAATAAATTAAGGAAGAAGTTTAATATCGAACATATTCCTGAGGTGTGTGGTATTACTTAGAGTAGATCGTAATCCGGTTGTGAACAGACTTTCATTGAATATAAATGGACTCGGCCGTTTTAAGTGATATCGAGTGCTTAATCTCCGATATCCTGCCCTGACGTCTCGCTCAATCGCTTCAAATCCCTACTCCTCTATATCCCTCCAAATCAATTATATTCCCTAGACCACCTTAATAGTAAATCTCCTTATTTGCCCAGCTACTCCTTTTTCCAAAAATTGCTGATTACGGATTTAGGCAAACCTCCAAGTACCTAACGATAGGGAAGAGAGCATTTCTAAGTTTATCCTTTTGAAATCATTTTAAAATTAGTGTGTTTCCTACGATTAAAACAAATATTAAAATTTAATATTTCCTTACATTATCTTCCATAGCATCCATCAATATTTAAAGGAAATTAAATAATTAAATTTTATTTTAAATTATTTTAGCCTTATCTAAATACAATACATATTATTCTAATTATGTAAATATTAAAAATAAATAAGTGTTTAAAATATTTATAATAATTTTTGTTATTTTTTTTTGAAATTGCGTGTTAAATATTTATTTTTCCCTAAATTAATTTGCAAAATTTATATTATGTTCCTGTTTATATTATTAAAGAAACAATTCTTTTAAAAGAAAATTTCAATATTTAATTAGAAAATATTTGTTTGCATTGTTATATACATTATTTCATTAAAGAATCAAAAATGGTTATCGAAAAAGAAATATATACAGAATTTCCTAAAATAGTACTCCCCACGGAATTAAAACTCCCTCCTTAATTAATACTCCCTAGAGCTATCCAAGACACTTGGTCTTGAGTCTTGTCGGTTTTAGTCGTGGTCTCAACTTTTTTGAGCTTTTCAAAAATTACACCCCTAAAAATTGAACTTTTTTGGATTCCTTATTTTATTTTTAAAATTGTAGAAATTTGGCTCTTGGCCTTCTAAAATTCTAAATTTTTGCCTACGGCGCTATAAAAAAAGAGAAAGCTAGCAACTTGACCTTCCAATATTCTAAAATTTTTCGCCTGATAAAGGAGAGCTATGACTCCTTGGTCTTCAAAAGTCATTAAAGCGTTAATAGGTCTATTCCCTTTGGCGAATACTGAAAAGTGTTACTCCCGGGAGTACTTTTTAAGGAAATACGGTGGTTATTTAATTTTTGATAAAAGAATATTAATAATTAAAGAGAACATTTATTTCATTTTTTAATAAAAAATTTAAAAAAATAATTTGATATTTAAATTAAATTTCCTTTAAGAAAAAAACTAAAAAATTTTTTAATTTACTTTAATTTTTTATTAAATATTTGTATTAAATAAAAAAAATTATAATGAATCAAAAAGCGTTAACATTTAATATTTTATTATTTTATTTAAATTAAAATATGTACATTTATTATTAAATTAAATAAAACTTTATTTACGTAAAAGGAAATTAAATAAACAAAGAGAATAAATAACGTATTTGAAAAAAAACTTTTGTATTTTTTTAATGAATAAAATTAAAAAATATTTTTTAATTTAATTTTCTTTTAATTGTTTATATTTACCTAATTTTTATTTTAAATTAAATATACCGTATTTACAAAAAAAATTCCCTCCCTTGAATAATTCCCCTCTCCTTTGAATAATTCCCTCTGCTACGGATGAGTTGAAAAAATAGTCCCCCTCTCCCAAATACCCTACTACACTTTGAAATTTCAAAACTCAAATAATTCCCCTCCCCTGAATAATTCCCTAGTCCACGGATGGGTTGAAAAAATAAAATCGAGTAAATACGGTATGTAAATAATAAAAGAATAATGTTATGAATATAAATTTTATTCAATAAAAAATAAAAGCTTAATTTTATTACCTTTATTTGTTAGTGACTAAAGTTTAGTTCAAAAATCTTTTTATAAAAAAATTTTATTTTAATTTAGTGCAATTTTCTTGAACTTTAATTAATTTAATTTTTGCATCTTGCTTAATGTAAATATTTTATATAATCGTGTAAAGAGGAGAGGATTTTAAGAATGAAGGGAAGATTTTAGAGAAGAGAAGATTTTACGACCATGCTATACACGATGGTGCAAAAAAACCACAAAATTTTCACATTTTAAAATGTCTCCTTGTTAGTTGGAAATCAGTGAGAATATCATAGGATTGGATATTTTTAATTTTGGGGAGAGGGGGTGAGGGCTAAATTTATTTTTGTCTTGTAAATATCGGCCCTTTAAAATTATCTCTATACATATTCTCTTCCTACTCATACATTATTAAAAAAATTAAAAATTATTAAAATTCTCCTCCCACTCAATCCTATCTCAAATTTAATAGCCCTCTCAACCACTTTCCTCTGTCATTTCTCATTTTGTTAAAATAATTTTTAAATTGAATAGATATTCATTAAAATATTAAATATGATTTTTGACATTAAACATAAATATTTATTATAAATTATTGGGAAGTTGTTGAGATGCTTTAACACTTAATTATATAGCTAATCTATAAAAAAAATTTCTAACGGTGTTGCGACAATTGAGGATACGCACTTGAGGATATGACAAATGAGCACGACAATTGAGGATTAAAATGATGATAAAAAACAAATAACAAAACCTTCTGAAATTAAAAATTTTTCCCTGCGGCGCTCGAAAGTGATGAACTCTTCTTTATTGGTCTTCCAAGTGGAGGTATTCCAAGTTTTAGTGGTCTTCCAAGTTTTTTTTATTTTTCATTTATATCCTCATTTGTTATATTCTCAAGTGCGTATCCACAATTGTCGTAACAACTTTCTAACGACGATTTTCTCAAATTAATAATGCCGGTTCGGACGTCTAACAAAATTAGCAAATTTTTAAATTAAAAAACCCTTACATTTAGTTTGTTAGCTATTTTGCTGACCCTTTAATTTACTCTATAAATAGCGGGACTAATTTGGTGGTTTTTAAATTTTTCTGTTTTTAAAATATTTAGGGAATCGGAGCTTGAGAATGACGTCTACTGGAGCTTTGAGCTCCTTCTCAGAGCATTTTCATCTCTAATTTTCAAGCTCCTACCCTAAAATCCTAGCCAAGACATAATAAAAATAAAAGAAAATTAAATTTCAACGATTTGAATCCCGAAATATACTATTAGTATTAAAAAATCCTTAATTAAATTTTTTAAATTAATTAATATAATGTTTAGATTAAATGTTAAATATTAACATATTTTGGAATAAAATTCGAAAATTATCCAAAAATATATTATTAACAATATTATTTTATTGGATAATCATCAAATTTCCAGGTTTGTTAAGAATTCTATTCACGTTTTGTTTTGATATTGAATTCTGTTTAGCGGCACATTGTGGCCAGTGTTTTACATGTGACCGTCAATTTGACTCCCCAGAACATTCACAACATGTTGAACATGAAGTTACTGGGCAGCAGGATATAATTGAGCACCAACAAGAAGAGGAGATAGATGAAGAGCAAGTGAGAGAATACCGTATGAAAGGTGATGTAAAGGGGAATATTTTTAAATTTTATTTGAATTTAAATAAATTTGTTTTTGATAAAACTTAATTATTAGATTAAAATTGGATATTAGAATTAACAAATTTTCATGCTTAATTTTAATTCAATATTTTCTTTTTCTTATATTTTTTTAATTTTTTTTTTAATTTTTTCTCAATATTTTTTTAATTTTAGTTCTATTCTCGCGCTATCTTCCACCAAAATGGCCTTGGTTTAATCAGTTAATGCAATTCCATCTCTCAGTGCATTCAATTACAAACATAGGCGAAGCATCTACTAGTCAAATGCCAACTGGATCTCCTCCCTCTATGGGTCTACATGGATCTCCAGCATCTACTAGTCAAATAACTGGAGAATCTCCATCCAGGGATCTTTATACTGATTTTCTCCTAGAATCTCCAGTATCTACTAGTCAAATGTCAACTGGAGAATCTCCTCCCTCTATGAGTCTACAAGGATCTCCAGTATCTACTAGTCAAATGCCAACTGGATCTCCCTCCAAGGATCTCTATCCTGCTTTTCTCCTAGGATCTCCGGTACATACAACATCCCCCCAAGGCGAAGCATCTTCCAGTCAAACGACAACTGGAAAAGTTCCTGGATCACCTATCCATGGATCCCAGCCTAGATTCCCTCAACATTCTGATGAAGAAATCGAGATGCCTTATATAAATTATTATAACATGGAAACGAGGGCAGATTTCAAAGTTTTAATTCATCGAGGAGAGGGCGCAATCGTAAATGATATAAACGAATCTGTATGTTATTTTAATTCTAATTTTAAAATAATTATTTGGAAACTAAAAATAATTTATTTAAAAAACAACTTAAGATATACCATGCTACCTATTATGACCCGAATTACATAAATTTTGATAACTCTGTGCTACTAAAAGAAATTTTATTGCATAAAAAAAGAATTTCTTATAAAGTGAAAGTAAGAAGTGCTTTGGGAGTTTTAAGAT